AAGGATCAGGGAGAAGAGGAGGAACAAGCGAAGGGCACTGAAAGGCATAGCCAGTGAAGAGAGTAGAGCCAAGCACACCAGGTGTCTTGGAAGCCAAGTGAAGGAAGTGTCCCAAGGAGGTCAGTTACACCAAATGCTGCTTTCTGATCAGGCAAGATGAGGGCTGAGAAGAGACCATTGAATTAGCTATGTGCTTGCCACTAGTAACTATGTTAAGAGCAATTTTGACTGAGCAGAGGAGTAAAAGCCTGACTGGAGTGGCTTCAAAACAGGACAAGGGAGAGGAATGGGAGATACTTTTTTGTCTATACTTCAGGTGTTGACAAAAATTCCCAAAAATGTTCTGTGGAAGCAGAGAACTGAAACAGTAGCTGAAGGGGGAACATGGCGTTAAGAGTGCTGCTGGTTTTATGAGGACAGACATTATAACATGTTGGAAATAATCCAACGGTGGGAAGAAAGTTTATGATGCAGAAGGAAAAAGGGAGGATTGATGTCTTTGGTAGACAAGAGGAGACACAGTTTGTACTTAGATGGCAACATTCTAATGCGCCTGAGGTCTTCAGAAGAAAGATGCATTTCCAATATAATCTGATGCTTGTTCTTCCCAAATAAATCTGTGCAGCCAAACTGGCTAAACAGGCTAATCACTGAGGGGCAAGGGAGGGCACTTTTACCTTAGATGCTACCATTATCATCCCAAATAAGTAAAACTGCATTTTGTTACTAACAATTTAATGAAGGTACAGAACTAATCACTCCTTCGTTCTTATTGGCCTACTGTCTGTCAGTTCTAGGTGTTATTTTAGAGCCAGATATACAAAAAACTGAGCAAAATAATAATTTCTATAACATTTTTATTAGTTACATTACGAAGAGATCTGCATGTATTTATTTATAACAAAAATTCTGTTTTGGGTTGCCTTGCATTGTGTCCTTATGCTTTGTAGCAAGCTTCCTTTCCCTAAAATTGGTAGGTTTTGTTCTCGGTGGTGCTCCCAAGGCTGGTTTTGGGGTAGGTATCTGGGGCATTCTCTCCATTGTCCTCTTGGCCAGGCTCTATCCCAAGAGCCTTTTCAAATACACTTACGTGGACTTGGAATGTGGTCGCTTCTAGAGGCATTAATCGGATATGCCAACTGCCTTTTAAGAAGTACTCAGTTTCTTTTTGTTAGCCATTTAAATGTTACTGAAACGTAGTTACATTTTCTCACAAAGCCAACTTGAGATCATTACACAATTCAGTTTCTCTCCCCTCAGTTTATACAGTAAACGGAGTTCTACATGTGGAAAAGGGAGGAGGATAGAATTGCTGAGACTTCTATTCCGCAAATTTAAATACTTGAATTTTCTACCTCTTACCGAATAACACATTCCACCTTGCTGAACCTTTTAAAAGGTCAGCTGCCACTTTGAGAGGGTTTATTTGTTTCAGTCTTTTCTGCAGCCTTCTTTTCGAGGGTTGTTTCTCTGGTTTCCTGGCAGTGTATTTACTTCATGGGAAACATTCCTTTCAGAGAAGCACAAAGCCTCTTCTAAGTTCTCTTTGAAACTCTTATCCTTAATCACTAGATAATTACTAGATATCCCACTCGTTTAAAATTTTATTTGTTTTAGATATCCCATTGTTGGTTATATTCTCTTTTAGAACACATGTATTCCTTGAAATATATCTGGACTATGTGTCTGCGAGCCTCTATGTGTACACATTTATTTTGTAACTTTTCTGCTAACCCCAGAGCTTACTTTTTAAAGGTGTTTCACAAGACTCTTGCTTGTTCTCAAATGGTTTTAAGTAATGCTTACTGTTTGTGTATTGTATTTGTAAGGCATTTTATGCTTAGAATAATAACTGTAATTTAGCCTTCCCTTCCTCATCTCTAAATATTTGTGCATCACAGACAAATTCAGTTGCATCCTGTTCATTACTAGAGATCTGAAAGAGCAAAACCTAAAAATTTCCTCCCTGAAACAATTACACACAGTAAAAAAGCCCTGTTCTAGCATGACTGGTCTGTAATGTGTGTTTCCCTCCTGGCCTATAATGTTGATTACTGAACACTTACCCTTCCACTGCTGGACCCGAGGGGACACTGGCCCACTGAGATTTGTAAAAACTCGGGAGTACTATGCATGTGCCTGTCTGCAGGAAGAAACTTATGTTTATGTTGATTAGATGCATTATCTGATTTAAGTGCTTTGCAAATCTGGAATCCAAATAGTAAACAGGACAGACATTCCAAAACTGATACAAATACCGTAACTAAGCTTTAAGAAAACAAAGTTTGCATAAAATAAACAGATGAAAATTCCCAAAATATCCATTTACGAGTTTTTTGTTTGTTGTTGTTGTTGTTTTTTGTTTTTTGTTGTTGTTTTTTTTTAAGAGAGAGTGAGCGACTCCCCTAGGTGGGGCTTGATGTCACAACCGTAAAATCACAACCTTAGCCATAATCAAGCTTAATGGGCTGAGGTACCCAGGCGCCCTTCCATTTACATGTTTTTGCCCCAAAGTGAGTATGGACAGATTAAGAAAAGCCCATAGTTTAGAGAAACTAGAAACCCTTTTAGGAAAACTCTAATGGACTCTAACAGGAATAAAGAATTTCAAGGTGTATTTTAGATGAAGTGTTTGCTCCTCTTAAGAATATTTTGCAGAAAGTAAGTATATTACCTTAAAGGCAGAGAAATGAACCCTGAAAATAAGGGTAAGGTACTTAGCTGCTCTGTGCCTTGGTTTATTCTTAAATCCCTGTGAAAGAATGCACTAGTGGGCATACAGAAAGCACTCAATAAATGTTAGTGACTGTTTTGTGACCATCTCCTCTTGGGTCAGTCAGGAAACAACTAGTATCATCTGTGTTTCCCTTATCCTCACAATTATGAGAAGACTCTGGAAAATTTCCTGGTATTAGGAGCTGGTCTGAAGTGCTGGTTGGAAGAGATGAAGAGACTGTTTCTCCTACTTTGAGCAAACAGAGGACGTTGACAGCTCTGGCCACACTTCAGGGCTCCACCACCAAGGAAAGAGTGCTTCTGATGACAGCGACTTTGGAACTGGAGTATGTTTTTTTCATTTTTGGTCAGTAGCAAAATCACCTAGACTTACGTAAGGAAATAATTTGGCTGCCTGATGGCCCTCCCACCCCGTTGCCTATGGCAACCCAGGTGAACTAAGCCTGAGCAACACCTACCACTGCATCCCAGGGTGAGAGGGTGCTGGCCACACCCGTGGAAGGCGGCAGCAACGTTTTACACAGAAACAAAAATCTTTGCTTTGCGAAAGAGATCAGAGCTCTTTTCTTCATTTGTTTGTTTTGGAGAGCCAGATACTGGTGGAGAAAAGGTGGCCTGCTCAAAGACAAGGCTTAGAGGTTTCAGCTGGTGGGCACCTCTTTCTGAAACCTTTATGCTTCTATCCGTTGTTTTCTGAGCTATAACCACCCCCCCAAACACCACTTTCTACCTTCTTCAAAATACTTTATCAACCAGGCCTTGACTCCACTTTTTGAAAAGTGTCTACAAATAAATGGGGCTTGCACCACTAGCTAAAGCTTCCTTTCCAGCCAAGCAGCAGAGGAAGGAAACTGTCAGGACACTGAGTGGCACTACACAGCCACAGTAAAAACCACCATGGATGGGGGGAAGCAGGGGTGCAGAGGCGAAATGGGTGAAGGTGGTCAAAAGTTACAAACTTCCAGGTATAAAATAAGCACAGCATGATGACTACATGAATAATATTATATTGTATATTTGAGCCGTGGCTGAGAAAGTAGATCTTAAAGGTCGCTAAGAGAGCACATCTTCAAAGTTCTTATCACAAGAAAAAAAACTGTGTAGCTATGTAGTGGGTGCATGTTAACTAGACTTACTGTGGTGACCATTCCGATTTATAAATCCTAAATATAATCATACACCTGGCCATGTTACACACATGAAACATATGTGTCAATTATACCCCAAAACAAAAACTAAAACAAAATCTGCCGTCCACGGAACCCTCCCTCTCGGTCAGGCTCATCTCAGGCAGTGCAGGCCCGGAGCTGGCTCGTGCGGGGCCAAACATGGACACGGCAAACCCCAGGGATGTCTCAAGCACAAGCCCGTCTGGGAGCCAGGCGGCCGGCCGCAGACCCTCACCTGGCATCTCCTGCCCGATTCGGGGCCAGCGCCCAACGGGAAGGCCCGCAGGGGAAATTTCACTGGTCGGCAGCCACCAAAACAAGTTGGGCTCAAGTCTGTCCCATGACCAGGCAGGGCAGCCTAACACCCTTTTGAGTCCCGGAGGCTTCCCGGACTGCACTGAACTTAACGCTCTACGACGAGTGAAACCCCAGTTGATGCTTTCCTCACCCCGGCCACCGACTAACCGGCCGACCCCTTCACTCAGGACCGAGGCTGGGACCGGGATCGACAAATTCTCGCCCCACCATTTCCCCCGTTGCGTTTCTCTCCCAATCTGCCCCCCTGAAGAAAGTTCCGAGAAAGGCCTCGCCTAAAGAGCCTCTCTGCGCCAAGGACCGCGCAGGCTCCGTCCACAGGGGGCGATTTTCGGGGCTACTGCGCTAGGGAGGCACGGCTCTCCAGCCTCCCTCCTGCGTCCCGGCTTCGGGGGTCACCGGGCGCTTCCAGCGCGCCCCCGCCACTCGCAGCAAAGAGTTAACCAAGTGGGGCCGGCGGAGCGGGCCACCCGCCCGGCTGCAGCTGTGCTCTGCCTTCCCCCCTCCCCGAGGCGTCTGGCCGCGCTCCCCGGCCCCGCGCGCCGCCCCAGGGCCGCCGCTGCCCGCTAGCCCACGTCGTCCGAGTCACGGCTCTGCGCGCCCGCGGCCCCCGACTCGGTCCCGCCGCCGCGCCCCGCCGTCTCGGCGCCAGGGCACCCTCCGCTCGCGCCCCCCTCACCCCCTCGCTCGCCCACGTCTGCCCCACTCGGGTGAGAGCGATCCGTCCCGGGCCCCGGCCGTTGCGTCCCTCCCCGCTGCCTCCCAGGAGATGCCCAGTACCGATGCCCTGGATGAAGACGAAGCCAGTGACCATGAGCACCGGGTGCCAGTTAAACTCGAGCGCGGTCCCATCCCAGCCGAGTCCCTCCCGGTAGTGGAGGACCCAGATGAGGGTGAAGATCACGGACAGGAAGCCGACGAGGAGCGACGACACCAGCAGCCCCAGAAAGCCCTTGTAGCCGTCCATGGCTATCAGAGCCCCATAGCCAGCCGCAAGAACTCTGCCAGGCGGCGGCGGCGGCCTTAAGGTTCTGACTCCGGGGCGGGACTCGGACTTTTACTCCTGGGAGCTGCCTCCGCCCGGGAGGAGGGGCTTCCCCGCCAGCCGCTGGAATCTCGGGGCCGCCCCTTGGCCCGGCATCCAATAACCCATCCAGTTCGTTGTTGGGGCGAGAGCTGGAAGGATTCCATACCCACCGCTTGCCGTGTCCCTTGTTTGTGAGATGATTAAGGAGTAGGGCTACCGCTAGGTTTTGAGAAGAGAGGATGGGATTGTGTATTGATATTGATTAACGAAGCCTGCTGAGCCCCAGCCCTGAGGACTGGCTGTCTTCAGTAGATGCCAGGAATGTGCCCAAGAGGCCCTACCTAACAAGGAAACTCCTTGCAGTTTGCGCTTTAGAGAGGGAAGACAGACATCTCCTGGACCTTGAATTTGCCTACACAGTGTGATAAATAATGGATCATAAAAATGCCCACCTACACAAACTAATCTGGGCCGAAGCCCCACTTTGATGAAATGAAACTTCACTCTTTCCGCTCTTTCCAGCAACCCTGTTACTGTCTCCATTAGACTGTTGCCTGTTAGGGCCTCTAGAATGCATTTGGGAACATTCACTTCTAGCCTTTTCCTGTAGCTCATCTCCAAGGACTGGTTTACCATATTGTCTTGTTGCCATTTTGAAAGATCTCCAGATGTGCAGGCAGCGTGTGGAAGTGATTTTCAACAGAAAGACCAAGGAAGTAGGAGTGTCGAGCCCTGGTGGTAGGGCAGGATTAAGGGTTAAGAGTAGGAGGCTGCACACTTCACCTGTGTCATTATTTTTCCCTTAGTGGAGAAAGAAAGGGAGAATAGGTACATGGGAAAGAAGGCCCCGTGTCTGCAGTATAAGGCTTTCTATGGTCTGGCCCAGCCTCACCCTCTGCTCTCGTCCTTTCACACCCTGACTGGCCCTGATGTCCATAGTTGTAAACTTCTCACCCAGCTCCTGACCCCTCTACTCACATCCTTGCCTTTGAATTTTCCTGACCCCATCTCCACCAACACACCTTCTCCAAATCTGCCCTTGCCTCTGCTTTATGCCTCCACTCACCCACCTCCCCATCCAGTGCCTCTGTGTTTCATTTTCAAACTGTGATGTAATCATCTGTTCCTGTGGCTGTCTCCACTCCCCAGACCGTCCCCTTGAGAGTATGAACTGTCTGATTTATCATTTTATTCTTCCTTGGCATCTAGTAGTTACTCAGTAAATGAAGCGGACTGAGCATATAAGGATCCTGGCCGGAAATAGATGACACATTCCAACTGGGCAATTTAATAATGAAGCGGGACTATTTGCAAAGTTGTGGGCAGGGCATAGGAAACCACAAGGGTTTGGCAGTGCCCAGGCCTGAAGGGAAGAGGGTTACTGGAATCGAGAGAACCGTGTAAAGAGGGCAGTCTCACTGAGGTTCTGGCCTTGAGTTGAGCCTGCAGCGACCTCACAGGCAGGAAGAATGAGAGGCAGGATGAATATTCCAGTCTGACTCTCTTCCCCTCCAATCTCCTGTCCAGGGTCCCAAATGGCTGACCCTTCTCAGAAGCCAGAGGGTAGCTGATGTAGTCTGTATAGTTCAGCCTTCCAGGACACACAGCAGGGTGGAAAAGGGTAGAAGCAAACTCATAGGTAGAATGAACAGAAACTATCACCGAATCGTCCAGTTTTATTTTTTTACTTTTTTGGCTCCTGAGTGCCGTAAACATTCCCTATTTAATTTTATGTTGTTTCTCTTCCTTTGTGATCTTCAGCTAGTAATTCTTTAACAATGTCATTGTGTCCCTATTCTTTTCCCTTAACGTAGCTATTCCTTGTCCCCAGTTAACTTCTTCACCTCCTTTACTCAACATCTGTACTCCACTCTTGAGTTTATTTTGCTCCACAGAAGCAGCAAATAAGAATCTCTGGGATTCCAGATTCCATTCAATCCAGTTAATGGATTCCATTCCATTTAACAAAACATCTTAGGAGAATGAAAACATGGCCAAATGGTACGGATGGTGTTGAATTATCTTGCACTCACAAGCTAAACTGAGAGGATTTCAACTTTTAAGTCGTTCTTGTCAAAAGTTCAGAAAGAACAGAAAACCAATAAATCATGCAAGTAGTTACTAGTAAAAGTTTATTTATTGGGCACACAGCAAAAAGACAGTTTACAGACTAGGAGCATTCAAATCAAAACATGGAATGAAGTTCAGGGATACAGGTATATTATTATAAAGCAGCTTATGTAGTGAGAAATTGGGACTATTAGTTTTTCACAGTGATTTTTTTTTCCAAAGTTTTTTTTTTTTTTTTTAATTTATTTATCTGACAGAGAGAGAGCACAAGCAAGGGGAGAGGCAGGGAGAGAGAGAGAGAAATGGGCACCCCACCAAGCAGGGAGTCTGACATAGGGCTGGATCCCAGGACCCCCAAGATCATGACCAGGGCTAAAGGCAGTTGCTCAACCGACTGAGCCACCCAGGCGCCCCTCACAGTGACTGATTTTAATATTAGATTTTCTTTTTTATTTAATTTTATTTATTTATTTATGATTTTATTTATTTGACTGAGAGAGAGACAGTGAGAGAAGGAACACAAGCAAGAGGAGTGGGAGAGGGAGAAGCAGCCTTCCCAGTGAGCAGGGAGCCTGATGCTTCATCCCAGGATCGTAGGATCAGGACCTGAGGTGAAGGCAGACGCTTAAGGACTGAGCCACCCAGGCGCCCCTCTCAGTGACTGGTTTTAATATTAGATTTTTGTAAAAGATAGGGAATTGATCAGTGGTTATCTCATATCAATCTTGTGAAACACTCCAAGTTTTGGTTATGATTTCCAGAGGCATAAGCCAAAAATGACCTTTGTCAAATTAGTCTTACAAAGTGAGCTAAATTAAGCTTTGCTTGTATGGCTAAACTCATTTTGTCTGTTCAGGCAATTTTCAAGCCTGGTCTCCATTTGTTTCTTAATATCCTTGAAGGACCTAACTTTGATAAAACTTGTCACTTGAAAGAGAAACATTTTTAATAAATATTGTTGTGGCTTAATATTAACAACTTTTTAAAACAGGAGTTGTTCAATACCAGAGGTTTCCCTTGGGAGATGGTAAACAATTTGTCACCAAAGTCAGACTAGATAATCTGTCAGCAATGCTATCAAAGGGATTCCTGATGTCTGTGGGGGAAGATGGGGGGTGGGGGTGGGGCAATGCACACCACAGGCTAGTCTTCCTAAAACCCTGGGATGCTTCAGACATGCACAGGTCGGTATAGGTTTTGTTTTGTTTTGTTTTGTCCCTGACAGACATAGAATGCAGAGTAAAGAGATAGGACCGGAAGGGATAGGGAAAGAAAATCCAAACCCCACTCATCATGAGATCAGGAACCAGGTGTCCTAGATGCATGAGGTATTGTTACATTTCTTTTGGTGCATACAGAAGTCCACTATTTTTTTTTTAAGATTTTATTTATTTATTTGACAGACAGAAATCACAAGTTGGCAGGGAGGCAGGCAGAGAGAGAGAGAGGGAAGCAGACTCCCTGCTGAGCAGAGAGCCTGATGTGGGGCTCGATCAGAGGATCCTGAGATCATGACCTGAGCTGAAGGCAGAGGCTTAACCCACTGAGCCACCCAGGGGACCCAGAAGTCCACTATTCTAATGTAAAGTATAATAAATTGTGCCTAGTGGTTTGCTTTATGGAATAAGTGGACCATTATTTAAATTTTCAAATATTGACTGTGTGTTGGTTACTCTATTTGACCCTCCATTCTCCATCTTTCATTGCCTTGTCTTCTGCCCTGGCAGGCTCCTTGACAGTTGGCTTCCAATGGGCTTTGGCCAATGTGCTGAAGATGGAGATTAGAGGGCAGGAAGAAAGAGAGGTCCACCTTTTTATCTTTCTCTGCCTCCTTCCCAGGCCATGGTTTTTGCAATGGTACATTCCTTTGCCACAACAAGGTTTGAGTGACCCCTATTCCACATCTGGAACTCTCCCAGGGTCAGGTAACACCATGCCCACTTACTTATACAGGCCCATGTGCAGTGTGAGCGCCCCCTTGCTTGTCACTTGTCTTCACTGTTCCTTGTTGGTTTTTCTTAAGTCTGTTTGCACCTCTGTAAATACTCCCTTTATTACACTGTCTTTAATGAAACTTGGTGCACACCAGCTGTTTCCTGCAGGATCCTGACAGACAAGTAGAAAAATTATCTCACCAGTGCAACTTTTCCCTTAGCCCCACCTAATTGTCTATGCCTTTTTAGGACATATTATGAAAGGATGAATATATGAACTAAGAAAAAAACCACAAGCAGGAGGAATGAACTCAAACATCTTGTTCTCCCTTCTATTAGACAAGAGATCTGAGGATCAGAAAGCTGTCTCGGTGACTCACAGCTGACACCCTGACCCAAGAAGTAACCAAGCTTGGGCAGTAGTCCAAGGCTCCTTAGCAAAATAGAGCAAGGATTATGACTTTGAAAAGAACATGTTAATAAGAGGAATATACTTTCCCATGTGAGGCTAGACTGTTGTCTTTGTAGAAAAAAAAAAACAAATGTCTGCTTTGCTGAGATATTTCTCCTCTAAAGGGAAAACTGGTGAGGAGATTAGCTCCAGCTCTGGCTGTGGGGAGACCGGCCGTGGAGTCAGCCTCTCTTATCTCTCTAACTCTAGAGGCTCTCAGAATCTACCTGCCCCAAGAGGGCAGAGCTGAAACAAAGATAGATTTCATTTCAGGAAACCCAGTTTGGGGATAGGCAGAAAGTAGCTCTCTTCCTGAGAAAGCAGAATGGGCCACCAGCCTGGGAAGCAGACACAAGAAGAGGAAGATGCCAGGGAGAACAGAGGAAGCGAGGAAAGCACTTTAAGAGGTGCCCAAGCAAAAGGCCTAACTCAATAAGGGCCTCTTCCCCCTGGAGGGTCGGTGGGGCGGGGGGCGGGGGCGCTGTGATCATATCAAGGTGTTGCTTTTGTTTGCCCACTCTATACTGCTCTGTAAGATCTAACTGACCCTTCATTTAATTTTTAGAATGGCGTCCATCATCATCCC